CACTTTAACCATAATTAGGAAAGAATTTTCCAGAAGGCTTGGCCAGGAAACTTGAAGGGGCAGGCTTAGGAGGAGTCTTACTGGAAACACTGCAGGGATGCTGGTGAGACAGCTTGCAGGCAAAAGTGCTTTTACCCTGTGCAAGCCTGAGGGCAATCGGTCCTCGGCACCAGCTAACAAAAGTTGTCCTCTGACCCCCGAATGTTCACCATGGCACATGTGCACAATGGCAAACATCCACCATGGCAAAATCCATACACCATACACACAGATACACACACACATACACTTTTTCCTTTTATGTTCATTGCTGTGAGGGCACCAGATCCCCTGGGACTCAGGCAGGGAATTGAACCCAGGTCCTCTGGAAGAACAGCCAGTGTGCTCTTTCTCACTCACTTACTCACTCTCTCTCTGAAAGATTTATTTATTATGTATACAGTATTCTGCCTGCATGTACACCTGTATACCAGAAGAGGGCACCAGATCTCATTACAGATGGTTATGAGCTACCATGTGGTTGCTGGGAATTGAACTTAGGACCTTTGGAAGAACAGCCAGTACTCTTAACCTCTGAGTTATCTTTCCAGCCCCTCCACACATGATTAATTTTTAAAATTTTTATGTACATTTGGTGTTTGGCCTACATGTATGTCTGTGTGAAGGAGTCAGATCCATTGGAACTGGAGTTATAGGCAGTTGTGAGCTGCCATGTTGTTGCTGGGAATTGAACCCAGGTCCTCTGGAAGAGCAGCCAATGCTCTTAACAGCCGAGCCATGTCTTCAGCCCCATACATAATCTTTAAATGAAAAGCTGCAGGGGTGTGTGTATGACTTTGCCAATAACAGACTTGATCTCAAATCATTTTCCAGTGTAAAAGGTAAGGGTGGGGACAGGCTTAGGGGGCGGCAAGTGCCAGTTGCCGTTTCAGTCTTCCGAGGTTGGTGGGCATGGGGTGTTGCTTGTGCCTTGGGGCTGGGGGGGTCCTCAGGTCTGTGCCTGCATGTGGAGGGGGCTTATACACTGGTGTCATAGGAAAGAAGAAGTAGTGCTGGAGAGGTGGCTCTGTGGTTAAGTGCACTGGCTGCTCCTCCAAGGACCTGGGTTCAATTCCCAGCTCCCACATGGCAGCTCACAACTGTCTGTGACTCCAGTTCCAGGGGACCCGGCACCCTCACACAGACATGAATGCAGTAAAACCAACATACATGAAAATAAAAAAATCTTAAAAAAAAAAAAAAAAGTCTTTCCTGCTGGGCGTGGTAGCTCAAGCCTGTAGTCCCAGCACTCTGAGGCAGAGGCAGGTGGATCTCTGTGAGTTCGAGGCTAGCCTGGTCTACAAAGCGAGTCCAGGACAGCCAGGGCTACACAGAGAAATCCTGTTCAAAAAAAAAAAAAAGTCTTCCATCTGGTGTCTGTGGTCTGTCCCTATCTTTGAGCTACACTTACTGACCAGAACAGAAACCATGAAAGGAATGAGGACCCTTTCATCGTAATCATTTGATCAGAATTTACAAAGGAAGCTGCTACTTTCCTGACCCCAGCTGACCCCAAACAGCGCTCAAAACTGTAGTCAGATGTTAGGTATACCATGTGTTACATCTAATGGCAATGGGATATTTGTTTTTTAGCCTTTTCTTTGAGGGGTTGTGGGGGTCAAGCGTCTCATCATGGAGCCCTGGCTAGCCTGGAATTTACGATGTAGATTAGGTTATCCCTGAGCTCAGAGATCTGCCTGCCTCTGCCTCCTGAGTGCTGGCATTGAAGTTGTGCCCCACCACGTAGATAAGATTGATTTATTTTTAATCTTCTGTGTATGAGTGTTCGCCTGAATCTGTGTACCGTGTGTGTGCATGCAGTGCCCACTGAGGCCAGAAGAGGGCATCGGAGTCCCGCTGGCACCAGAGTAACAGCATTGTGACCTACTATGTGCACGCTAGAAAGCAAACCTGTCCCTCTCGGAAAAGCAGCCAGTGCTCTAATCACTGAGCCTCCACTTCTGCCCCTCAAGTGCATAGTTTTAAATGATCTCAAGGTATATTACTGACTTGGTTGCAAGGTGCAGCAAAAGTTGAGCTTCTGAAGGCAAGACGTAGTTTCAGAAAAGGCTATTATAGCCCAGGTGGTTGCACGCGCCTTTAATCCTGGCACTCGGGAGGCTGCTCCTGGCCAGCTAGGTCGCCCCTGGCCCTCACTCTGTGCCACTGAGCAAATCCACTTTTCTCAGCCCCAGTTTTCCATGCTGTAAGCTAGGTGCCCTTCCTTCAGTGAACTGTGCCCTGCAGGTGCCAGAACAGTCTTGAGGATCATGTTAGCACCCACTAACCTTGAGGTGGGGTGTGGTGTTTGAACCAGAGCCACACAAGTTCCCATGCAGGGGTGCTGAGAGAGGTCCACGGCTCTGGGACCTTCCTCCCATGGGACACGCGTTAGGGAGTGGACTTGAATGTTTTGAAGTTCCTTGTCCTGAAGTTGATGGAAGAGGACAGTCAGTGGCCGGGCCGGGGCTGGAGGGCCGTGATGCCTGGCAGGACTTCTGTCTAACTGTAAATGTCACTGTAGTTTTAAAACCTGGGAAAGCCAAGGCATAGTAAGGTTGGTTGTGTTGCTTGCTTCTGAAGCACTCTTTCTATGAAGTCCTGGAACTCACTCTGTAGACCAGGTGGACCTCAGACTCCGAGAGAATGTCTCTGCCTCCCAGGCGCTGGGGTTGGAGGCATGAGCCACCAGGCCCAGCTTTATTTTTGTGTGTGAGTGTCTGTGCAGCTCAGAAGAGGGCTCTGGATTCCTCGAAACTGAAGTTCAAGGCCAGCCTGGCCTACAGAGTGAGTTCTAGGACAGTCAAGGCTACACAGAGAAATCCTGTCTCAAAAAACAACCCTCCCCCCAAAAAACAACAAACAAATAATGATAGTAAACGCTTCAATTGGTGTCAATCAAATAACGTGGGAGCCAGGAAAGGGCTGAGCAAGCCCTCTGCTTGTGCTAGGCTCCCCCTCTGCACTGTTTGCTACCCAAATCGTCCTATGGAGACCATGAAGAAGCTCGGCGCTCTCGGCAGAAGGCCCTCACCCTTCCAAGTGGGGCTGTGACGCTCACTTCTGAAGATGGCAGCAGACGGGTGGACCTCATAACGGAGGCCCTGGAAGGCATGGCCACAGCCGGCCCCAGTCACTCCACAGTGTGTCCCCCAAACCAGTAAGCTCACTAAACGTAGCTTTCTAAGAAGCTGTTCCAGCCTCAAAGCCAAAGGCAGCAGGACTTTTAAACGTCACCTGGGGCCACGGGGCAGGAAAAGGTCCCTAGAAGAAAAGGGAAATCTGGGTAACATGTGTCATAATTTTTCCCTTCCTTTGTGTGTAGTATTTAGGCATATGGGCGTTTTGTCTGCATGTATACATGTACCCCATGCCTGTAGAGGCCAGAAGAGGGAGTCAGATCTCCTGGGACTGGAGTTACAGACAGTTGTGAGTCACCGTGTGGGTGCTGGGAATTGAACCTGGGTCCTTCGGAAGGGCAGTCAGTGCTCTTAACCACTGAGCTGTCTCTCCAGCCCTCCCCTCCTCTCTTCTTTCTTTTGTATTTATTATTGTATGTATGTATGTATGTATGTATGTGCACACGTGTGCAGGTGCCCGAGGAAGGCTGGGGTATCTGATCCCCCGGAGCTACGGGCGGTTGTGAGCACTGACTGTGGCTCCTGAGAACTGAGCTCAGGCTGTGGGAGAACAGCTGTGGCTTCCCGTCTGAGCCATCTCTCCAGCCTTTTCCCTCTGTCTTCCTTTTTGGTTTTCCCGAGACAGGGTCTCACAAAGCCCAGGTTGGCCCCAGCTTCCTCTGTAGTAGAGACTGGCCTTGAACTCCGGACCCTCCTGCCTCCCTTCCAGGGCTGGGAGCAGAGGTGGCAGTGAGCAACACCACTCTAGGCTTGTTTCCTTCTGTTCGGCTTTTCGAGTGTTTAAGACAACCACAAGTCCTGGGTGCTCCCCAGGGCGCGGCAGGGCCAGCTCTCGCGTGCTTCCCAGGCTTCGGCGTGGGGTTCCCGGGAGCCCGGTCTGGGAAGGCTGGGGTAATTTCAATGTGATATGTGTGCACGTATAACTGAGGCACTTTCCAACAGGGCGTAGAGATGCTTCAAGGATTCTGGAGAAGCTGAGTGACATGAAACTTCAGGGAGGTTTGTACTGCTAGTTTTCTTGGTACTTACGAAAAGGGTGTCAGATCCCCTGGGGCTGGAGTTCCAGACAGGTGACTGTGGGCCACCAGGCAGGAACTGGGAGCCGAACCTGGGTCTTCTGAAAGAGTGGCAAGTGCTCTTAACCATCGTCTCCCCAGCCCCGCATTTAGCACTTTCACATGATTTTATTTTTAAACTTAAAAGAGAGGGTCTCACGTATCCAGATGGCTCTCTCTCTGGAGCACTGTCTCTTGCGCTCTGCTAATGTCCCCAACCGTTTTCACCCACAGCGCAGAGCTAGGCAAGTGCCCTGCCCCTGAGCTGTATGTACCCCACCCCGAGGAGGAAGGAGCTCATGGAGCCCAGGCTGGCCTCTTGATTTGCTATGTGGTAAAGGAGATCTTTCTGCTTCCACATTTTGAGTGGTGGGCTTCAAACCTGCGTCAGCGCTCTGTATACGGCTGGGTCTCTGGGACTGAGTCCAGGGTCTAAAGTGTGCTGAGGGGGTGGTGGGTGAACCAAGCTATGGCCACAGCCTTGCTTTGCTTTTTTTTTTTTTTTTTTTTGACATTGCATCTTGCTATGTATCCCAAGCTGGCCTTGAACTTTTATGTAGCCCAGGCTGGCCTTGAACTCATGTTCATGCTGCCTCAGCTGTCTCATATTCCCAGAGAATCAAGAGGAAGACTATCCTGAGCTGAGGGTGGGACCAGACCTTGCCTCTTCCTCTCCTGTGGCCTGCCCTTTCAGTGCTCTCCAGCCTCTGACCTCCTGCCTTGATCTCTTTAGTTAAGTGACGGTCTGTGGGCCTGGCCTGGAGGGATGGCCAGCCTGAGGCCCAGCCGGCTTCCCTGCATCAGGGCGGCATTCAGTGCAGCCAGCTTCTGGAAGTGGCAGAGACACGCGCGCCATCGCCTGCAGGTGTGCCCTCCTGTCCCGCGTGTGTGGGGAGGGTACCCATCTCTGTAACGCTTGGATTCCTTCCTCCCTTTCTAAAACTAAAAGTATTCAAACTCTAGTATTCTTTAAGGAAACAAAAGCTACCTTTCTCGGTGGCCTGGGGCTGGTGGGGAGGTGCTGGACTCCCGGAGACCAGGCCTGGGCTCCTTCACGAGCTTTGTAAGCCAGGCTTCTGCCTGTGTGGAGGGGCCAGTTGAGGTGGAAAGCTCAGTGTCCTCCACCTCTTTTTGGGTTTGGGCCCAGAACCACTGCCAAGGCACTGTGTGGCCCACCGTGCTGAGGAAGGGCACCCCTCCTCTGTCCCCTCCTTACTGGGGTTGAATGTCAGCATGCCCTGGGGTGTGGGCGGCAGTGTTCTGTGTGTTCAGCTGCTGTGGCAGAGTCAGCATCAAGCCTTTCCCCACAGGTCAACTCCAGAAAGAACCTCCTGGACTTCGCTGAAGGCATCTGGCGAGAGGTATGTTGTGGGCCCGTAGGGTCCAGAGACCTGAGGGAGCCCTCCAAAGCCAAGGCCAGCCTGGCGAATGGGCTGTGGGGGTCAGAGTCCAAGCAGTGAGCATTCCTACCTGTGTGCACAACCCTGCACACAGGAGGTCGGCTATGTATACTTTTAAAGATTTATTGTGTGCAGTGTTCTGCCTGCATGTACACCTGCATGCCAGAAGAGGGCACCAGATCTCATGATAGATGGCTGTGAGCCAGCACTCTTACCTCTGAGCCACGTCTCCAGCCCTGGTATTAACTAAAGGAGGGTGGTCTTACTATGTAGCCCAGGCTGGCCTCAGGACAGGCCTCCTGTCTCTCTACCCTTTCAGTGTAAGGATGACAGGTAGTGCCACTCCAAGACAGGAATAAATATTGACAAAATACACCCACAGAAAGCAAGGAAGGGGGCAGACAGGAAGTTCTGATCCCCACAGCAGAGGGCAGGGGCTAAGCACTTTGATCCCCAGAGGCCCTGCCAAGCACCCCGAAGAAGAGTTTGCTGTTGCAGGTGGTGGGGCACACGCTTGTAATCCCAGCGCTGGGGAGTCTGAGGCAGGAGGATATGAAGTTGAAGGCCAGCCAGGACTACCTGAGACCCTGTTCTTTTGTTTGGAAATCTATTTCCCTATGTCTGAGTACCTTGTGACATGTGTGCTGTCACAAGGAGAGAGGAGAGGGCATCGGATGCGCTGGAACTGGAGTCCCAGATGGTTGGGAGCCATCACTTGAGTATTAGGAGTTGAGTCTGGAAACTCAGCTGCTAACCCAGCTCCCCAGCCCTGAGGTCCTGTCTTCAAAAGCAAAACAAGCCAGGTGTGGGGACACACGCTTTTGATGCCAGCACGTGGGAGGTAGAGGCAGGTGGAGCACTGTGAGTGTAAAGCCAGCCTGGTCTACACAGGTACACAGGCCAGCCAAGGTAGCGTAGTAAGACCATCTCAAAACAAACAAAACACCAAAAAAATCACCCACAAGCAGGGCGAGGTGGTGCACGCCTGTAATCCCAGCACTCAGGGAGGCAGAGGCAGGCAGGTATCTGTGAGTTCGGGGCCAAGCCTGCCTGGTCTACAAAGTGAGTCTAGGACAGCCAAGGCTACACAGAGAAACCTTGTTTTAAAAACCCAAAACAAACAAACAAAAATAACCCCACAAAACCCAGCAGCTGGGGATGTCAGCTGAGTTGATAGAGCGCTTAGCCAACATTTATGAGTCTCGGAGTCTGGTCCCCAGGATACCTCAACGGGGTGGTGAAGGCAGGAGGATCAGAAGTTCCGGGCATCACAGTGATGTGGCCATGTTTTGTGTATCCTGTATTACCCTGCTGCTAGGACCTGCCCTCCAGCTCAGAAACTTTGATTTTGTGGTGATGGGAACGGAGTTTCAGGCCCTCACTCAGAGCCAAGCCCTCAAAAACCTCTGTCATCAGTTTTTAGATCCTTACGATGACTCAGATCCCCCAGGCCATGCCAACTGCCGAAGCTACCGCCAGCGTGCCTGCCGCCTCCTGGGAGACAGGAACCGCATCACACCTTACTACACAGCGAGGTTCAAGACTGCCGAGGAGGCCAGCAGGGAAGACTGGCTCCCACCGAAGGCTCTGGAGCTCACCACGAAGGCTTCTGGCTGGGGCCCCATGACCTTGGAAGTCAACGACGTGGACATGCAGCCTGAGGGTGACCTGAAGGCACTTGGCCCCCAAGAGGCCAGTGGGTTGCCTGCCAAGCTGTGCCCATCACCAGAGGACTGGAGGATGACGACAAAGGCTGCCAGCCCCCTCATTCCTGTGGAGGCCCTGGAGCTGGGCAAACACCTGCCGGGCAGAGCCAGAGCGCCCCGCTCACCACCCAGGCTTGGGAGCGACAGAGACAAGGGGCCCAGGCTGTCACTTTCCAAGAGGAAGCTGGAGCTTTTACTTGCAGAGCCTGAGAGAATTAAGAGAAAGAAGAAGTACGTGGCTGAGCCAGGGCCCCGGGCAGGGACAGAGCCGGGGACCCAGGATACACTGAGAGTTATGAGTGGGAGATTAAGTCCCTAGCATCCGGCATAAAGATGGGTGTGCAGGGGTGCTGAGGGCTCAGCGGTCAGGGGGCTTGCTGCAAAGCCTGATGATGAGCTCAATCCCTAGGGCCCACATGGTGGAAGGCGAGAACCAACTTTAGCAAGCTGTCCTCTGACCTCCACACAGGGACACTTAGTGGTGTGCGCTTGTGCACACTAAGGTAAAAATATATCCCTGGCAATCCCCCCCCTCCCCCCAAGTCTCCTCAGGGCTGCATCTCAGGCTGAGGTAGGGCAGAGCCCTTCCTGGTCCTTGTGTGATTGGCCCTTTGTCGTCCCCCCCCAGCAGGGTTTCTAATGGCCAGCTGGGCTCAGCAGGAATGCTGGGCTCACAGTGGTGTTTCTCCCCAGCTTGTTTACTGAACTTGTTCTTTCTGGTAGGTAGCAGGAGCACAGCGAGCTGAACCCACATCTCCTGCTGCTGCTGAGCTCCTGGTCTCCTCTCCAAGTCATGTCCACCCCATGGCGACAGGACCACAAGGTTCCCAAGTGCAAATAAAAAAAGCACCATAAGGAGTGCCCATTCCTGGCAGGGCAAGGTCCACCTCTGGGTGCTGTTGGGGCCAATCCAGCACTGGTTAGTGGCTAGGGTCTTGCTCATCGGTGCCCCTGGCAACTCTGCCAGGGAAGACAGTGTCTGGTACCCTGTCCAGCAGAGTGATTATAGGAGGGGTGGGGGCGTCGAAGTCCAGTTATGGGGCTGGCGTGTCCCCTAGACACAGACAATATCCTCTGAGGTGTTTGGAGGCATAAGGAAAAGCCACAGGCGCTGTGGGCTGTGCATGATAGCCTCTGACCTGGACCCGAGTCACGGGCCCGTGCCCAGGTGTTCCTTGGAGGACAATGCTGGCTTGGGGCTGCTTCCATTCACTTCCTCCTGTTCAGGAACTTGCAGTGTTTTCCCAGAGCCCTTGGCGATTAGGACAGTGCCTCTCTGCACAGGAGCCCACCAGGGACCACATTCACAGTCACCGTGAGTTTTGGAGACCCTGAGCTGCCAGGCCGAGCTTAACTCATCCTTCCTCTGAGGCAAGGCCACTTTCTCACCATGGGGTGGCGTGGAAATGAGTGCAGGACAATGGGATTGGTGGAAGGCCTGTGTCTGAGACAGGAAAGGTCCCCGGGGAATGGAGGTGTCAGCCCAGCCTTAGTGTTTCAATCAAGAACAGAGTTGCTGCTGGGCCATGGGGATCAAGTGCAGGTTTACTGGCCTTATGAGCTTGTTCCTGGGTATGGACCTAGGTGCCAAGGATGAGCCGCAAGGATTTCCACACCAGACTGGGCAGAGCCACAAGAGCCGGGAGCCTGTCATGCTTAGTGTTTTATTTAATAAAACAAGCCGTTCGTCAGCCCTCGCTACACATACTTTCACCTTTCCAATCCCACTGTTTCCAACCACGGCCAGCACCTTTCATTTCCTCCAACGCAATCCAACCACTTTCTTTTCACAAGTCCATCGAACCTTCCAAATGTTTAAGGATGAATACATGTTAAATACTGGATTTTACTATTCCAGAAAGAGAATTTGGAAAAAGGTTAGCTTTACTCAGTGCACAGAACCGCAACTCCACGCTCATAGAAGCTTCGAGGGTCTTCCTTTGTAGCAATTTCAAAGTCCACGGTGAAGATAAGGTCCGCCCGGGTGAAGTTCAGGTAGACAGGTAAGGTCACCTGCGGGACACACAGAAGGGCTCAGTGCTGCCTGGCTCGGGGGCCAGGGCTGGCAGGGTCTGGGCGTGGCACAGGCAGAGGCACTTACCACACTGGCCTTCTTCTCAGCGCTGGTTTGCTTTACCCAGCGCAGCTGGGTTAGAGGGAGGACTGTGGAGATGGCATTGGAGAGCGACAGCTTGTTGTTGTTGCATGTGGCCCCTTGAAGTTTCAGCCCTGTGAGGAGAGGTGGAGACCAGGGCTGAAGTGCAGTCCACAGCCACCTAGCCCGCTCACGGGGCATCCACAGGCCCAGCTGGGCCACTTATACCACATTCATTTGAATCAGGGAAGGGCTGCACTGAGAGCTCAGACTCCCGCTCACCTGTGACCCCAAAGCTGCAGGCATCGAGGGTGGCACTCTGGGAGGCAGTGACATTGACTTCCAGGGAGAGTTCCTCCAGAGACCAGCTGTTGGCTTGAGCCACGTACTGTCTGGTGGCAGTGATGTAGGCCTCAGGCACAAACAGGCCTCCCAGGCACACATGGATGTTCTGTAGAAAGAGGAGTGCCCAGGGAAAGGAGAAGTCAGGCGTAGGCACTTCTCCACCCCAGCCCGGGACAGCAGTGTGACTTCCCAGGGTCGTGCTCGCCCACCTTTAGTTCCTTGGCACCACCAGATGCAGCTGCCTGTGAGATGTTCTGCAGCTGTTTGATCCTCTCGCTGAAGTCTGACACCCACTGGATCACTGTCATGCCCGCAGGCACCGTGTAATGGGACCAGCTCCGAGGCAAGATCCCTGCAGCAGGCACAGGGACCCAGGTCTCGGCATACCTTTGCCAACTCCTCTGCAGTGGAAGTGGCTCAGGCCGCCAGCACCTGTGTCCCACAGCCCGCCTTCCAGGCTGTGCCTGGTGTGCCTGTCCACACCCAGAAGGCCCAGGGCATGGTTGTCATGGCGTGGAGTGCAGGCTACGAGGCCCGCCACTGCAGGCACACATTGTGCCCTGTGTCGCTGCACTGGGGCCCTCCGACCCTGCTCCCACTCGTTCTGTGTCCCCTTCACTGCACTATCCCCAACAGTCACAGAAGCTGCACAAAAACTTCAGCAAAGTTCAAGAAGAAGCAGGGGCATTCCCTGCTACTAGGAAGTCTGAAAAACAGGTAAGTGAGGCCTGGGACCTGTGCTGTGTCTACACATGGGTGTGGGCCAGCCCCTACCCCTCCACTCCAGCCGCACCCCCGCGCCCCTCAGCACCTTTCACCAGCTCGTTGATCAGAGTGCGCAGGTAGTTTGTCTGCTTCTTCTTCCCCTCGCACACTTGAACAACATCAGCAAGGTCCTGGCGCACGTCTTGGAGTAATTTGGCTCCCATCTTCACTTCCCTCTCAAAGAACCGAAACAGAGGGTCCTAAAGCCAAAGAGAAGAGGGCTGAAGCAGTGAAACCTGTGCACCATAAGCAAGCCACATGGCAGCAGTGGCACCAGAGCCTTCTGGGAGCTAGCCAGAGCTGTGGAGTGGCCTGGCCTGACGCCAAGAATGGCCACCTCTGCCCGAGTTTAATTAAGGTGGTCACTGCTCTTGCTCAAGACTGGTGTCACACTGATTCCAGCCCGGCTACCTTGATGTTCTCCACAGTGCGCTTGAGCGGGCTCAGCGTCTGAGGGATGAGGTGCAGCCAGTTAGAGGCTGTGGTGTGCAGCGTCCTCATCCAGGCAGGACGGCCATCAGATGTGGAGTCCGTCCTCGTCTTCTTCTCTGTCTCTGCGTAGGCCAGGTCGTCCTCATCCTCTAGCATCTGCATCTTCAGCATCTTACTGATCATGTCCACACCTAGGCCAGCCACAGGCAGGGAAGGCAGGCAAGGAGGAGGACTTCAGTGTGAAGGCCAGTGCTGCACACCATTACATCTCTATAGTAGTCACAAACGGTCTTAGGCACAGACCAGGGCCGGTGCAGAGGTAAACAGAAAAAACTGGCCCAAGTCTACAACAGGAAGACAGAACCAGTGCCCTGTGTATGCCCCATGAGGCTGCTCCCAGCCTGTCCACAGAGCTGTGGGCCTCAGAAGCCACACACTCCATCTGAATGCAGAACCTGTCATGGGGGTGTTTTTGTTGGCAGCGGAGACTCCTTTGAACTCTGTTCATACAAGTACCCATGCCCAGCTGTGACTGACGGCACACTGGTCCCTGTCCTGTCCCTCACTCATGAAGACCAAAGGCCAATGCTGAGAAAGGAGCATTCCTGAGAAGATGGGCAACGACCCTGGGCCACCTTGGATAGTGTTGATAGGACACAGGACTTAGAAAACCAATGGGCGAGTGATGGCAGTGCCGAGAATCACAATCTGGAGGGCCGCCACATGCTGGGGAGGCGATCTAACAGCAGGGACCTGCTGAGCTTCCAGGCTCCTCCTCACACTCAACGCACACTGCTCACTCTCTGCAGACAACATTCTTTTCCCACCTCACAAAGCTCGCTGCCTCCTGTTGGCATCCTGACATGTACCATTCCACAGAACTCAAAGCAGAGCAGAAGGACAAAGGGAAACAGGCTGGAACTACGCTGTTGCTGCTCAGCCATCTTGCCTGTTTTTTAAATTTGTTCAATTTTATTTTCTGTACATTAGTATGAAGGTGTCAGATCCCTTGGAGTTGGCGGCTGTGAGTTGCCATGTGGGTGCTGGGAATTGAACCGGGGTCCTTTGGAAGAGCAGCCAGTGCGCTTAACCACTGAGCCATCTCTCCAGCCTTTTGCCTCTCTTTTTAGAGGGTCTCATGCCATCTAGGTTACCCCAGAACTCTTGTCCTTATTGCCTCTAGCATGTGGATGCTGCAATCGCAGATATGAACCACAAAGCCTGGCTCTATCTAAATGGTTGTTTTAGAGAGTCTGGGGATCGCTGACAGAACCCTGCCTAGCTTGGGTTAGGCTCTGGATTCTACCCCGTGTGTTGTGAAAAGTAAAACAAGACCGGAAAAAAAAAAAAAAAAAGACTTAATACAAGGTATGTTGTTTGAGGCAGCACAGTCTCGTGTAGCCTAAGCCTAGGCCATGCTGTGTAGCCCAGATGTTGAACTCCATGACTTTTCCGCCTCTGCCTCCAGACTAGGGCACAGGTCTGTATCATCGAGCCCCCATCAGTGCCTCCAACCCTTGAACTAAAGCTAGCCCTTAAACCTTTTCAGGACACCCTAGTGCAGAACTGCAAGAGGCTGCAGAGGAAAGGCATGGCTGGGGGGGGGGGGGGGGGCACAACCCACCTTGGGTGGTCAGCAGGACCCTCTCAGCATTGTTGGGCAGGCCCAGCCATGAGGGCGT